TCCAAAATAATTTACTGATGACATGCTGTACAACATATAATAAAATATTAACAAAATACCATATATTGGGTAAAATTGGGCAGATACTAAAAGCAATATATTATCTAAAAATGTGTAATATAAAGAAAGTCAATCTACCTAGTATTAAAAGAATGCCTCAATAATTAACTTTTTTCAGTTAGCCTTGATCTAATTATACATCAAATGTGATTACACCAAGGTATATGCTTTACGGATGGGATTCTTGAGTGACTAATGAAAACATTATTGTGCGGGGCATTCAGTTAGCATAAGTATTCATTTGTTTGTTATTTGACTCTATAATATTTATTGAGGTTCTACTACAAGCCAGGTGCTATTCTAGGCACTGGGGACATGATCTTGTACAAGTTAGGCAACTTTCCTGATGTATTGGAGCATAATGGACAGAGAATGAATAATTACATTATTTCTAGCAAAAATGATAATAACAAACAAAAGGCTACATTTAAAAATCAATGGACTCTCTCAGGTATGACTTCTGGAAGGCAAGAGAGAGGAAACATATCCTGAGAAAGTCTGGTTGTATAATCTGAAGGGTCCCACCTTCAGAGCAAATTGTCCTGGGTGGCTCATGTTTGATCCCAGTTCATTCTTTATAGCCATATTTGCTTTACACAAAATTAATGGTGGGCTTTGTGTTTATTTTTAAAACCAAATATTCACATGCTACAGAAACTCTGGAGAGATGCCCTCTGTTCATCCAGTAGCTTCCTATGCCCCTAGCACCATGCTGTGTGCTCCAGTGGGTCCCCATCCTCCACCTTGCCAACCAACAAGAGAGGTCATGAGCCTGCAGAGTAGAGATTGAAATGTTAATTTTATTTTACCGTAACATGTTTCATGCATTTGTAACACAAAGCTATTCAAAATGCAAACAGTAAATGGCTCAACATCTCCCTGCCCAGATGACCTTTTGTTGAAATACAAAAAAGTAACATGTTAAAAACCAAACAAGATGGAACAAAATGAAAAATAAAAATTGACCCCCACATAATCCCTTTCAACAAATGTAACCATATTAGGGTTTTTTGTTTTTTGTTTTTTTTTTTTTTGGTAATCCCTTTTAGAAAAGGTAGTATTTTTTTATACTTACCTGTGTATATATACACACTATGTACCTGTTTGCACAATAGGAATGTGATATGATTTATAGTAAGAAATATGTATTTGGTCATTGTCCCAGTTTCTGGCACAGAGCTCCTAATACCCTTGGGATTTCCTAAGTGAGGAAGGGTATAAAAATTGTCTTTTGTTAATTAGTTAATTGGGCAACTTTCGGAAAGCCCCCTTGCTCTCTTAAGGATGGGGCTGGTTATGGGGAAACCAACCTGAGATTAAAGGGCTAGAATTTTTTGTCCAACTTCCATACCTCTGGGGAGGAGAAAGGGCTGGAGATAGAGCTCAGTCACCAATAGCCAGTGATTTAATCAGTCATACCTGTTTAATGGAGCCTCTCTCATACCCCAAAAGGACTATTTGGGAGAGCTTCTGGGTAGCCAAACATGTGAAGCTGCTGAGTGTGTGTCATACCTGGAGAGAGCCTGGGAAGCCCGGTCTCCCCATACCTTGCCCTGGGCATCTCTTCCATCTGTTCCTATAGAGCCTTTTCATAATAAAGTGCTAATCAAGTGAATAAAACTGGTTTCCTCAACTCTGTGAACTGCTCTAGCAAGTTAATCAAACTTGAGGACATGGTTGTGGGAACCTCTGATTTATAGCCAGTCTGTTGGAAGCACCGTTGATGGCAGCCTGGCCTTTGTGATTGACATCTGTAGTGGGAACAGGCTTGTGGGACTGAGCCTTTAAGCTGTGGGATCTGACACCAGTTTCAGGCAGATAGGGTCAGAACTGAGTTGAATTATAGGACACCCAGCTGCTTGAGGGTGTGGGAAGAAACATGGTAAAGGAGTTACACATAGTTTCAAAATTTGCTTTTTCACTTTAAATATCTTAGCCAGCTTTCATATTGGTAGATGCAGATCATCTTCTTTTTACTGGGTTCAGAGTATTCCTTGTTACATAATTCTAGATTTTATTTAGCTGACGCTATTGCTACATAGCAGTAGTAAATTTTAAAGCATTATTTAAGCATATTTACGTAACCGTATGTAACTGTATCATAATAGGGGGGCTACCAGAAGTAAAACAAGATGTGAAAGAGATGCTCATACTGGGTTGCGACTGAAGTTTTCCATCTGCCATTGCTGTTGCTTGCCTGTGGAACCAGGGCTCAGATCCAGTCTTTGGCCAACCCTTGGATTCTGCCAAACACATAGAATAACTTAGTAGGAGAGAAAGACTTGGGACATTTCTGGGAATCTTACTTATTTCAGCAATTCAATTAAATAAACATGTAGATGCTTAGGATGGGCTTCATTAGATTCTTTCCTCAGAAGACTTTAATTTCTAGTAGGGCAAGGAGGCATATAGATAGGTCATTTCAGAGTGCGACAAGTGCCATGGCAGAGGTATGCTCAGGATTCTGAGCAGCAGCTGTAGGGTCACTCAGTCCCCTGAGAAGTGTAGATATATGTGTGTGGGAGAAGGTGATCGAAAACTTCTTGGAAGGAGTTGCTAAGATACATAAGAATTACCTAGATAGAGGAAGGGAGAAAGGCATTCCAGGCCAGGGAACACAGAGGTCATCAACAGCACAATGAATCTGAAGAATCACAAGTAGTGTAGTGTTGTCAGGATATAAAATTGGAGGCAAGAAATAAGATGGACAGAGACCTGTTCATGGAGGGCCTTGTACGTGGTGTTCGGAAGCCGGAAATTCCTCCTTAAGTCTGAAGACTTGCATGCCTTTTACGTATCCGTTAAATGCTCTCTAAATAGTTATCATCATTTTTTGGAACTCTTGAAAACATAATCCCCTTATACTCTTCAAAGCAGAATTAAGTCAACTGTTAGCTTAATTATTTGTTACTGTTGAGCCCAAGACCCTTGGTTCTGTGTCCGATTTCACATGGTTCTTCAGGGTACCCAGAACCTTAATCAGCCATTTCACAAATGATTGCCAGAGCTCACGGCTCAGGAGCACCGAGTGTAGGTGCCTGAGTTCACATTCATCGGCACTGGCAGAACAACTAAGAAGTTGGCTGCAGCATCTTCGGGTACCTTCAGATAGCCTGTCCCTGTCATCACCATTGTTTTATAAAACGCCAGTCCATATAAAATACGTTGCTTGAGTTTGGGTTAAAGAGAACGGGGTGGTGTGGGAGAATGGTGATTTGATCTGATGAGTAGCAGTTGACTTATTTTGCTTTGATTTCTGAGTCTTTTTACTTCTAACGATCCATTTTTTTTTTCTTTTTTTTAAATGCTATTCCAAACTGTGAGTTACCTTGAAAAAGGTTGGTGAAAGGCACTGGGAAGAAACACTTTTGGAAGAGAGGAGCTTGAAGAGGAATACCTCATTCCTTTATTAAGAGATGATCAGTCCATTTTAAGCACAAAATAGAGTTTAGAAATAAACAGTGTTTGTGGGGAAGGCAGTATTTCTTTTCTTTTTTTTTTTTTTTTTAAGGAAGGAAGGCAGTATTTCTAATTGATCTTTGCAACTCATGTATTTATATAGTTTTACTTATATTTCTCCACACATAAACTTTTTCCTGAATCATCCATAATGGAATTCCAGGAAGATGGGTTAAATATGTTGCTATAGTTTACAGTTGTCATCTGTAATGTTTTATTTAGCCAAATCTTTTTTTTTTTTTTTTTTTTTCACTACTCCCTGTACAACACAGAACACCATATGCCATTGTCCCTGTCAGGAAGCAAAGGTTTCCCTGGTCTGTGCCTGTGCCTGTGTTTATGCCACAGAGGAGCTGTGGTCCAGTGCCATCTTTTATTGATAGGGCCAGCAAAGGAAGAAATCTAATGAAATTATCAAAGCTTTGAATTAATTATGAACTTGAATAGGAGAGCTAAGCTCTCTGGAGCCAGGGATCTCATTACCTATGCACTCTCATTGCATCCTCTTCTGGAGCAGAAGGCATTTTCAGCTACGGCTCTTAGCCTGGCTTTGGACTTTATTCAAACTTGCTAAACTGACATCCTTTTCTTACTACGATGTGGCTGCTAATGTCCATGCTGATTAATTTAATTCTGCTCTGGATCTACAGGAGATGTCAATAGGTTTTCTCTACCCCTCCTTTTGCCTTTTGTTATTTTCTCTTTCTCTCTCCTTTTTTTCCTCATCAAATTGGATGTTATACAAGTTTTTATCCTTTTTGGGTAATGTGAGACGCTTTCAGGATTCATGTATAGCTTCATGGAGTATAGTGATTGATTTAAATTTAAGAACTATATATTCCATCTACTATGTATTCCCTGGATATTTAGGTAAGCACAAAGTCAAATATTTGTTTGAATTTTGAACACCAAGTGGAAGTTTTTCTTTCTTGTTTCTACTTTAGAATTAATGGTATGGGAGTAACTTCCATGGTCTTAGCAGCATTTTTCATATTCTAATGTGTGTTATATGGGAACAACAGATCTCACTTTGTGGGTGTAGCTTATAAAGCTCCCTGATGCGGAGTACTTAATGTTTGCTTTACAATTCTGGTATTTCTTTTCCTGGTTTAAAAAATATATATATTTTTGATGAATAAATCAACCTCTTTTTTTAAGCCCAATAACCAAATCAATAATGACAAGGTTTCAATTTACTATTGGTGATGATTCTTTGGTACTGTCATATAGGTTCAAAACATCTCATGGCAAGTCTTTTCTGCTTGCTTCCAGACCCATTATTTATGAATTCCTAAGCTGCAGCTCATCTATCTTAGTAAAGTACAGGCCACTGGCGATTTTTGTAAGCAGTGACTAACTTTGCTTTATAGAGTCAATGTTTTAAAGGTTTTGAATAGTGGGGGTTGGGAGAATGATAATCTCTACTTTCCTTTTTCTATTTACTTTCAGTGAGTTTTTCCCCCCATTTATTTTCTTTATAGGCAGCTGCAATATTTAATTCAGCCTTTGGAAGTTTTTTGGTAAGTAAATATGATTTAACTCGTCTATTTTAACTTTTGTTGTGATGTTGTTTGTATGAAAGACTTAGTGAAAGTTGGACTTCTTTTACCATTTAGTTCAGTACAAAAGTTCTTGAATCTTTTTATGTGCCATTAGCCATATCCTGAAAAATTAGTTGATAAATAAAGGAAATGTTCTCTTACAATATAATTTGTAGGCTTGACGTTTAATATTCCATTTAATGGATTCAAGGAATCAGTTAAAACACTGTGTGTCTCCTTATAGAAGTTATGTCAATATATTGATCATTTAATGAGGTCTTTTAGATTATTATTATTTTGTATCATGGGACTGAGGATTTTGAAAAGGAAACATGACCCAGCTGGTCAGAAAGGGAATGCTAATTTACTTGTTGACATGTCATTTATTTTGTACATTTCACTGTCAAAGAAGCTACTGGCATGGATACTTCTGAGAAATCTGTGTGAAAAAAATTTGAAATGAGGAAATGATTGAGTAATTTACAAGAGAATGCAATATTTTTTTGATATGTGAACTATAAATTGTATAAGGGTTAAAAAATAGCTCAGTGTTCATAAGTAGAACCACTATAATTATAAGAATAATACTATTTTAGCATTTTCAATTGTTTTTTAAGTAATAATATAGCAAAGACTTGGTTTGTGTTATCAAAGAATGAGAAGGAAACTGAGTTTTCTGTTAATTGAATATTTTTATTTATATCCTCCCTAAAACTTTGCCAAATTCATGAAAATAAATTAGAATATTTTATTTTTAGGTACATAATTCATTGGCAGGTATGAAGTACCGTGACAATTGAGAATAAAATCAGTGGGGTATAAAATAGTTCCTGAATTTAGGCAAAATATTAATTACTTCTGTTTAAAATGCTGTTTATCTCACTTATGATTGTATGTATTTGAATGTACCTGAAGCTTTTAAAGGTTTTGTTACACAAGGTTAATTCTATGTAGTGCTACACAGCTTTTCAGGTCCCAATGTTACAGACCTTTTAAATGATGTAGCTTCTGCAAAATATATGCTTAGAGTATATCTTATTTTTAAAGAAGTAGTAATGTTATTCCCAATGCTGTATTATTATTGGGTTTTTGAAGAGAGCTAATAACATCTATTTAATGAAAATGAGCTCTGGAGCTACTTACTTCAGACTCAGTAACATTTTGTGAAATCTTTCTTTCATCTAAGTATTATTTTCCATATGTTGTCACAATTGACAAAATAATATCTGTAAAAGATGATCTTACTGGAAGCCAGGGTTTTTTTTTTTTTTTTAATGTGGTTTGGAATCCTGTACATCTACTATCAAAACATGGTTTCTAAGCTAGATCTCTTACTCTTTAAAATGTTTATGGTTATTGAGAAAATAAGTTGAAGCTATTGTCTGAATGACTGGAGCAAAGTGCACTGTCCCTTAGTTGGAGGGTAAACTCGCTAAGTATAGTTTGAGTTTTGCACTGATTGTATGAACAATGAACACATTAGTTCTCCCAGGCCCAATTCTTTGTATGGTCCAGGGAAGTAAAACTCGTTCTAGGGACTCTTTAGGATTTTTTTTTTCTAATGTTCTTTCGCTTCTAAGAAGTTGTGCATTCTCACTCCTAAGGCTCCTGCTTTTTTTCCTCTTTTCATCTTTTTTCTCACCTTACTTCCGGTAATCAAAAGTATTGATCTCCTACCACACAGAGGTGGTTTTCTGGGTCCTACTGTGTTGTGGAGATGACACACAGAATAAGAAATACAAGGTAAAAGTTAACAAGTTACACAGAAGGTGTTACCAAATGATGTATGATTGTCAGATGGCACAGGTAACAGGCACTCAATTCAAAAGTCAGACAGAAGCAATTTCACTGAGCTGGACTTTGAAGTGTGGTAGGACTTAGCTAGTAGATAAGCGAGGGGTGGAACTGGCAGAAAGACAGAATTGTCATTTTCCATTTTTCCTTCCTCTTCTGTTCCCTCCTTTTTCTGTTCCAAAGTTGGAAATGACTGGAAAGGGTTTGAGAATGAAAATGATCATTGGAGATGTTTTTGTTCCAGGGTTATAAGAAATAGTAATTCTCTTTCTCTCCCCCCCCCCCCCCCCCCCGCTTCATCATAGTTACAACAAACCTTAGATTATGGACTATATTTGAGTCTGGGCTAAACCAGTTAGAATTAGGTTCAGATTATTGAAGATTAAAAAATAACAATTGTGGCATATACAGGATATTTTTCTATTATCTAAAACCTGGAAGGAGGCTACCACATATGGTGGCTTCATGGTCTCATTGTGGACAGATATGCCTGTCTTTCTCTTCCATCCTCCACAGCATGCACTTTCCTTCTTCAGGCTTGCCTCAGTGTCGGAGATAGCTGCTGGAACTCCAGGCGAAAAGATACCTGGATAGTAAAGTCTTTACTTTGGGAAAGCACAGAGGAGCTCTCCTAAAATCCAAGTTAGCTGTCTTTAAACAGCACTCCTAAATTCCAACAGTATACTTGCAATAATATCTTATTGCAGAGCTTACTTACACGATCATACTTAGCCAATGGAGAGGTTGGGACATGTGGCAATTTGCTAAGAGCTGAAAATTGGGTTTCTGTTACTAAGAAAGAAGAGAGTGGATATTAAAAGACAGCTAGCATTTTCTGCCTATGGTCAGTGTAGAGCAATTGCCAAGAATTCAAAAGAAGAGATTAATCTCAGTTAATGATATGAAAAGGCTTTAGGGAGAAGTTGGTGTTTGAGTTGGGCTGGGGAAAAGGACTTATTTTAGAGGAAGGAAATTCCAAAGTATGACCTTCATGTTTTATTTTGTTATTCTTTTTAAAAATTTTTTTCACTTAATTTACTTTAAAAAAAATTACTGTTTTTATTTTAATTCCAGTGTAGTTAGCATAGAGTTGTTATATTATTTTCAGGTGTACAATATAGTGATTTAGCACTTCCATATATCACCCAGTGCTCATCACAACAAGTGCCCTCACCTCTTTCCCCATCACCTCTTTCACCCAGCCCCCACCCACCTCCCCTCTGGGAACCATTGGTTTGTTCTCTATAGTTCAGAGTCTGTTTCTTGGTTTGTCTCTTTCTCTCTCTCTCTTTTTCCCTTTGCTTGTTTGTTTTGTTTCTTCAATTCTTTAATTCAAAATCATATGGTATTTGCCTTTCTCTGACTTATTTTACTTAGCATAATATTTTCTAGCTCCAGCCATGTCACCGCAAATGGCAAGCTTTCATTCTTTTTTATGGCTGAATAATATTCCATTGTACATATAGACCACCTCTTCTTTATCCATTCTTCTGTTAGTAGGCACTTAGGCTGCTTCCATAATTTGGCTATTATGAATAATGTTTCTATAAACATAGGGGTGCATGTATCTCTCTGAAGTAATGTTTTTGTATTCTTTGGGTAAATACCCTGTAGTGTGATTACTGCATATTAGGATAGTTCTATTTTTAGCTTTTTGAGGAACCTCCACACTATTTTCCAGGGTGGCTTCACCAGTTTACATTTTCACCAACTTAAATTTTCGCCAATTTAAATTCTTAAAATTTAGGATTGGGTTAGTAGTATGGTTTCCAGAATCAAACTGGCTTGATTTAAATCCTTACTTGACTGAATTACTAATCTAATCACATGACCTTCCCTGTATATAAAATGGAGTAGATAGTACCTAAACTATACATTGTTGCGGTGAAAATTAAATGGGGTAATCTGTGTAAGATACTTGTGATCTAAGTTTGGTCCAAGCTCTGCCATGAACTTTTTTCTGTGCCCATGAATATCCATAAAATGAAGAATTGGTTCCCTCTGACTAATGATTATTCTCTGGTTATAAGTGACCATTTCTTTTGTATTTACATAATGGAATTTGAAAGGGGTATTTATTTCAGATTACATTAAAACTTTGAATGAAAGCCTTTATTAGAGGAATTTTTGAAGAAAGAACTCTGAGGGCATTTTTGTTGATTATTAGACATCTGGGTATACCAAATAAAATAGTGTACATATTTATAGCTAGTTTAATAATGTCCCAGGTCTAATTAAAACACAGTGTTTTTAAGAGCTAATTGTTACAGGGAACTGTGTTGTTGTTGTTGTTTTTAAATGTAGCGAGGCTGGTAATAACCAATGATAGATGAATTCAATTTACATAAATTTGAGACCAAGAGAATATTTTAAAATCATGCCATAGAGGATTGCTTTAAGTTAAGAAGTTAATGTCATTATCTCCTTCTCTCATTTAAATTGTTCTGTTTACAATAATTGTGGAGCATAATAAGTGTTTTAATATTTCCCACTTGATGAGATTTTAATAGAATTTGATAGTCACCACTCTGAATAACTAAACTGTTATCAGAATTTATATATATATATTTTTTTTCTATGTAAAACCAGGCATTTCAAGTTCAACCATCTTATGTGTTGCTTCCTCACCAAAAGAAAGATTTAAAAAAAAAAAAAAAACAGATATTGGCAACTTTTAAAATAATTCCAATTGAAAAATCCTCTCTTTAATGTGAAAAGATTTAACTATTGAAAAAAGGTTTGGTCACATGTTTTGTTACACTTTTGGCATTTTTGATCGGAGGCTGAATTCAGTGTTTCTATGTCTTCAAGAATTACAGGTTAAAATTTAAAAAGAAAAGGTAGAACTTTTCCTATTTAGACTCCTCAGCCTATTTTATTATATTTGGTAACTCTAGAGGGAGTTTGGTAACACAGCAGGGGTAATTCTGAGGAAACCCTGGTAAGTGACAAAGTTGATCGTGCCGAATTGAGTTTCTAATAACTGTGTCACACAACATTATAGCAATTTGTAAGTGTAAGGATTTTGAAACGTTACCAAAGAGTTGCAAGCAAAGTGAAATCATCTTTGTGAAAGCATAATACCAAGTCTAAGAAAGATCTGTAAGAGGTACTGTTTACTTTCTAAATCTCTTCTTTTAAAGTATCAAGAAATGAGTTTGTTTTATGTAATTCTTTTAAAGTAG